CTGCAATTGCGGGAATTGATCGAATATCAATGTGGCACCCGTCATCCGGGACATAGCGCCACATAGACGTTTCTTCAGTCGTCGCATCCTCTCCACAAGTGCCCCAATCAATGTGGAAGTCCAATTGCTTCCCTGAAAACTTCGGACGAATTTCAGACTTCTGACGAGCAATTTCATGAAGACTTCTGCCAGCTCACGAACAAAGCACAGTTCCACGCCTACACGACGCAGTTCCTGGAAGTTTCTGCTGTGAGACTCAACCTTCCGCAGGGCCTGTGTCCAACAGTTCTCGGCTGGCACCTTACCGAGTGGAAACTGCAGTGTCAACGTGTTCACTGTGCACGTTTTTTTTGTGAGTGGATTATCTTGCGTTGCCGTTATCCTTCTTTATCCTTCTTGTTTTCTTTCAAGGCAGTGGTCGGCCGTGAAGGGGGAGGTAGGAAGTCAGTAAGGTTAGTAGTAGAGAGGAAGCTACTTGCACGGACGCAGAACGGCTCAGACTCCTAGATGCTTAACAAAGAGAAGAAATCAAGCTAAGAAAAGAGGTGGTGGATTTGGGCCAAGTCCACCTTTGCTTCTCTTTGTTTCTTTTTTTCAAAATTTAGCTTTGAAAAGCAGAGGTGCCTGGGTCAATTCAGCTGGAGGTGGCCGCCGAATACTGGCATCTACCCGAATTAGCGAAGAGCTGCTCAGCTCGCTGAAGAGCTCAGCATCAAGGTCAGAAATCTCCACCTCGGAATTTTCGAGGCTCCCCTTAAATAAATAATTGCATCTTGACTGTTCCGCGGCACGTTTATGCACATCAATGAACTGCAGTGACATGAGTGTTGTCCATTTATCTGTATGTCAAAACAGCATCCAAGCCAATAAGATCAAACTGCCACTGCCACATCCGAGGAACGCAGTCATGGCTGTCCTCCTTCAAAGGAGCACACCACGCGACTTTCACGCGGTCCCGGGGCGCAAAGCCTAGCACCTTCGCACGGTACCAGTGACCATCCACAGGCCAGCAAGCCCAAACGTCGCCACCTCAAAGTGTCTTGGACTTTCTGTTGATGAAAGCAACCTGCCGAAGTACCTGTATTGATGTTCCCTTTCAAGGTGCCTATGTCTGGTCGGCCACCTCCAGCAAAAGGCGCAGCTTTGCTAGCAGTTCCATGATGCTGTGGTGTGGCTGGCTTTCCCTTACAAGCTTCAGATGCCTGACAAGTGGCGGGAGAGAGAGGACGATCCAAAGGGCATTGGCAACTCAACAGTTTCAAAAGCGCCTTTGAGTGGTTGTCTAGCGCCGTTCGCAAGGCTTCACTCAGTCGCTTGGAGGCCAATGTGTCAGCCTCATGCTTCCTGACATAAAGGAGCCGCAGCATTGACACATCCTACCCTCGCTACTCTAGCACGTCGCTCTGCATTCCGATGCTAAGTGTTCTTCTTGATTGTCATGATGCTGGGGCCAAGTTGCTCCGCCAGTGTTGCCAGTACGAGGTTCACCACCCAGCCTACATCCTGTCAAACAAACGTTGCAAAAGTCGACAGTCCAAGGATCTCCGGATCCCCTGTTACTCCAAGCTCCGGAGCTCTCGCCTCCTCTGCTGGATTTTTCTCCTCTGCCATAGCTCCACCACATCTGTCTGCTGCCTCCGCAGCTTCAGCCAGTAAGGCCAGCAATTGGGCCACCAAGGCCTGCCGTGATCTTCTCCGGTTGTCTCCCCACTGGAGAAAGCCTACATATCAGTCTTTTGGGTTGGTTAGATTGCTCCGGGAACGTCAGGCTCAAAAGGCTCGGGCTCGGCAGCCGGGCATGGAAGACGTGAAAGAACTGACAACTAGTAGCTTCTTGTTCCTAGCAGTAAGGCCAGTAGCTCGTTCCTAGTGGCTTCTCGTTCCTAGTGTCAAAAGACCACCTTCGATTCCTCGATAGAATGCAGGAATCAAGCTGTAGGCCTCCGGAGCCTCTGACGCTTGAAGCATCACATGCGCCAGTTGCTCTCCAATGACGGCTTCAGATTGGCCATGGTTGGAGTCCCCAGGCTTCAATTCGATCTGCAATGTAGCAGCGGCGTAGCATTCTTGCAAAATTCTAAGTATATATCTATCTATCTATCTATCTATCTATCTACATATATTTTTGTCCCTAAGAATGCTATAAATTTATAAAGGGTCTATGAAACAAGCACAACTGCCTCTTTAAAGCTTGATGATATGAGTTGAACCGTTGAACCCTGACACCCGAGTTAGTCACTACTCTAGAATCTAGAAAGCACGACGTGTCAAGCTTCCTCCGTAGAGCTTTGTGCACGATGCCGAGGTGATCCTTCCACGCACATGTCTGCAGCAACAGCAGCTGCACGCCCCAAGACTGGCCGACGCCGCCTTCCTGTCATGACATGGGTATGCTGTCTGACACGAGAATCATGATAGAATCGGTATGGAACTTGTTTTCCGGACCTGAGGTTAGGGTTCGGAGGACGGTGTGAAGGCATTCCGTATGCAGTAGCCCACGCAAACCTGGCGCTGCAAGGCGGTGGCCATCGTTGTCCTCAGCAAGGCGGGCATCTGCCAAAGCAGCGTGGACATGCAACCGCTCCCGGCCGGACGAAAATGAAGCCAAGCCTCAAAGTCGCTTTGCAGCCTCTGGTTCCATACTGATAGGGTCTGGGCAGCTGCCGCTGCCTGTGAGTCATTCCCGTCATCTTCAAAGCCTGGCCACAAAAGCGTCTGAAGTCTGGAATTGTTTATATACAAATTTCACTACCTTTGCTCCCCTCTGTTTCTCTCTCTCTCTCTCTCTGTTTCTCCCAAGGTCAGAACCGTGCTTGAAGGAGTCCAGCTCATGTGTGTATAGGCTGATCAAGTCGTTGGACTGTAGATCTGCCTTTGGTGCCAAAACCGAATCAGCTATCCGATTCTGCCGTGGGATAGCCAAGTTGCTCGATGATTCCACGCACCGAGTGTTGCTGCAAAGCCCGTCCGCACGCTTTGAAGTCCTAGTGGCAAAGGGCATCGCTACTAGGAACAAAGGGCATCGCTACTAGGAGCAAGGACGCTACTAGTAGCTCCTGGCCTTACTACTAGGAACAAGAAGCTACTATATAGTTATTCTTCTTTCATGAAAGACTGAACGATCTGCGATTGCATATGTGCCACTCGTTCACGTCAATGGATGAGAAAGAATCTTGGGTTAGACTCATCCAAGTTCTTGAGCTTTTCAACGCTAACCCTCCAACTTGTTGATCTTGCCTTCATCAGCCTCTGAGGCTAAACGCTGCACTGACTGCTGCACCTGAAATTGGCATAGACTGAGCCCCAAAGCGTGAGGAATCTGATTGTGCGATGCTCTGTGTCTGAATCTGTGGGCCTCCTCTGCGTGTGCGCGTGTGAAATGGCATGCCGCTACTATTTAATAACTGCTAGCTGTTACTAGACTGCGCGGTCCATAGATGGAGAAGGCTCCATCTGCCAAGAGTGACATCCATGTTTACGCACAGTCCAACGCATGGTCTCTGTTGTCTCCCGGAGAAACTGGCAAAATGACAATGGAGCTTCGAAAGGCACCCGCTGGTTTTCCCGTGTTTTCCCCAAATTGCTTCCAAGCCAAGACTTGGCCTGAGTGAGAACTCTGCTGTGTGCGGAGTCAATAGCTGGAAAAAGGTTATAAGTTTGACAAATATTACCACATAATTTGGCAGTGCGCAAGCGCCATGACTGTTTTTTTACTTGTTCATCTGGTCACAATCTCTTTTCCAAAACCGACCGAGGGTTGTTCGAGCCAACACGTGGGTTCACAAACTCGTCCGTGGATGAAGCTCGCCATTGCAAGACAGGGTCTTTCGTTATTCAGCTCCAGGGGGGCTTGGGGATGGCATGAAGAAAGTGCACTTGAGCGCTCAAAAGAGGACAGTATACATGTGCTGCTCTCGCACCTAAGACCTGCTATTGCACTGCGTTGGGGAGGTAAGCTCCCTTTGCGCATCTGGGTGCGTTGACAGACTGACGAACGCACACATTCACAAGTCACGGTGTTAAAGGTTCTTGCGTGTCTTGGCAAGTGAAGTGCTTCGTCGCTTCAGCACTGTCCAGTCAGAACCACTCTGAGCACCTGCTCTGCCGCGCTCTCCGCGCTGGCGCGCAGGACCGCTTGGCCATGCTCAAACAAGGCGCCCAAACCTCACAATATGTGAAAATGGTCGAGCCGCCATCAAGCTCAGACTCAGCTATTGGAAGGACTGTGAAACCGTCTTGGAGTGAGACGCAGCCATGTTGTCCAAACAGGTCATAAGGAACAGTAAAATAAACTCTGCAGGCCGCCAAACCGCTCTCAACACCTGCAGCCCAGGTGCCCACATCATCTGAGATGAACTTATCTTCAGATTTACCTGCCAGTGGTTCGATGTGCCGCCGTATTTCCTGCACCAATTCTGTGCAATGGTTATGTCAATGTCGCCTACAGTGCAATGAATTAATGAAGGCAATGAAAACATGTCTGCATATGTCTGTAAGCCTTGGTCTGCATGTGTCTGTGTCCTCAGCAGAGGTCGTGAGCCATGACGTCATGGCCGAGGCACAGGCTACAGCCCTGACTGCGTTTTGAGCCAAGGAAGGATCAGTGGCAAGGAGCATCAGCACGCACCCAGCACCAGTCTCCAAAGGAATCAAAGGATTAGCTCAGTTGCTCCGCAATACTGATGCCAATCCACCCCCCCAAATAAAAACAATCAAAACTAAGCCTTCGTTGAACCTCCTGCTGCTATAGTTTGAAAGGTCACCGATCCCATATGCGATGGTCGCATGGAAAAGTTAGTCGTGGGCCCTTCCCATAAAGTGATTCGTCTTGGGAAACATCCTGATTATATATTCAGATGTTTTCATGGTTTTTCCTTTGGTGACTTTGTCCATGCAACATCTATGTTACACATACATGGTTTGAAGTGTTGACCTCTGACACATCCGATGCATTGGCTCAAGAAGGGCTCAGACTGTCGCAACACCCTCGAGGCCCCGACAAAGCCATTTCCCTGGTTCTGGAGGCAACCCTCTTTGTACAGAAAGTCCAGGACGTGCTGCGAAGGGTTTGGGAGCGGGCAGTTGATGCTTCGGCAAGTCCTAATTAGTTCTTCCTCTTCCGGTCTACATTCTTCCTAAAGTAGTAGTAGTAGTAGTAGTCGTAGTCGTAGTAGTCGTAGTGGTAGTGGTAGTGGTAGTGGTAGTGGTAGTGGTAGTTCTACGCAGTGGTTGAGGCATTTGCTGTCATCTGCAAGCTTCACCGCCCCTCAGTTGCCAGGGGCAATTTGGTCGATGTGAGTGCAGACTCTTTTTGCCACCTTTCGTGCTCATCAACTCTGGCCCTTCGTTCTTCTCATGACGGTCATGTCTTCATGGCATGAGATCTGTGGTCCTTCACGTTGGTGACTGAGAACGGGCGATCAGAAGACCTCTTTCGTCAGCTTCCAGAAGGATATTCTCAAATGCCGTCAGAACTCTGGGACTGGAAGCTTTTCATGTTCTTGGCTGTCGCTTCTTGGGCACCTTGAGCTGCCCCCTCACTTTTTTGACTTTTGCGCGCTTCTTCGCCACCGGCTTCACATCTTCACCAAGCTTTTGGGATTGTAAATGGTCTTGTTGCGCGTGGAACTTCAGGAACTTCCCCTGCACCCGGCTGATCTAACTTTATTCCACAAGATTCCACACCTGACGAATGAGAAAAAAAAGGTCTTACATTGTTACCAATTTGTGCAGTACCTGTGAACAGGGCAAAATTTGAGAACTCAGAATTTCCAGGAACTTCTGTATGAAGGCTTTCTAGTCTCACTACCGGCCTCCTTCAAAGCCGTCCGTCCTTTCTGTTTGGTAGAATGGCCTCGCCCTCGGGCCCTTAACGAGGGCGGCTCCTGAGACGGCCCAAGTCTTCGCAGCAAGCTCCCTGCCACTATTTGATTGCGCTCATGGGAATCCGGGATGCCCTGCTTTTCATGTCAAGTTGTTCAGAATGCTAAACAATTCATTCAACTCCTCTGAGTCAGACTGTGGTGCCAGTCCGCGGCCACGACCAGCTCCAAGTCCACGTCCGCGTCCTCGACCAGCACCAGAAGTTTGCACCCTCCGTCGCTTCTTGGTCTTGCCGGAATGACGCTTTCCGTTGACAATCTCAAGCCTTGGCCTGAGTATTGCCAAGCCAAGAACCACATCATTGAGGCAACCGCAGCAGTTTTCATGTCCAAGAAGGGTGCTAAGAGTTTTCTTGATTTGCCGAGCAGCAGGGTAGACAGGATCTTGTGTATCTCGTCTGGCATTTCTTCCTCTCCTGTGTTTGTCGTTCTCGCTCGCTCTCTCTCCCTCTCTCTGTCTCTCTCTCTCTCTCTCTTTCTCTCTCTCTGCCTCTCTCTCTACGTCAAGGTGTCCAGGATTGAGGGGAGACCTGGCCTTCACACATGAATTATATATTTTCTAAACTATATAATTGTTTAGGGTGTATTCATTCTAAGTTAACATGCCGCATCGTTTTCCAGCGTTTGGCACATGGACACTGTAGCTTTTTGCGGGGTTTTTTTGGACATCCCGCATCATCCCGTCTCGTTTTCTGAACAATCACAGGCGTGGAGTGGATGAAACGCCCTTCTATATCTCCTATGAAGTATATGGTGTTAATTTATGAAAGCGACTCACATGCCCGATGGGCAAGCTGGCCTGCTGCAGGGTTTCCTCGAACATTTACATTCGTCAGCCACAGCAATCCTGCAACGAATCGAGCGGGTCCTTGGCGCAGCCTAAGACTTGCCACACGGCTGACATGTTCCGAACACAAATGATGAGCGGCAATGAAACGGCTTGCCGCATCTTGCAGAATGAAACGTGACTCACAATGGCTTGAGCGGGGGATAAGTGGACGAAAGGCAGATAGGCAAGGGGGGTGTACAACTTTTGAGGGCGAAAGCCACTGGAAACAGGCTAGTCAAGGGGAGTTTTGCGGGGGGCAAGCAAAACGGTAAATATCATAAATCTTGACCGTCGCGCTCAGCAGAACGGCAAGCAGCAAACATCATCCAATTAGGATGAGGCTCTTCGACTCAAAGAACTCACCAAGAAAAAGCAGACCACAAGGATTTGGTCTGGGGGAGGGCCAAAGAAAGTGAAAAAGTCAATCTTAAATCACGATACGCGGGGCAACGTGTCCCATTCCAATACATGTTTGATGTCAACTGGGGTAGCTAGCTGAGGCTGCTTTTCATGGCGGAAAAGTCATTCAAGCTTCAAGTGTGCTGTCCTTCCAGTGCCTTAAAGCCATTGGCCTGGTTGATGAGATTCTTCCCCACATCCAAGGTAGTCAAATGCGGAAAGGTAGTCGCCTCAGCTGCAAGATCGGAGGAAGCACTGCGGAAGCACAAAGCTAAAAAAGGCAAATCATCGGAATCAAACTCAGCTTCGTGTTCTGCAGCTGAAACCTGTGCTATCAAGGCACGAGGGCAGGAATGGTGGTGATGTGATTTCCATTCAACCGCAGCTCAGCTAATGCAGGGAGCTTCTGGAGCTTTGGAAAGCCATGAAGACGGTTGTGAGCCAAAGACAGCTTCTTCAAGTGCTTGAAGCCTCGACAATCTCGATCATGCGTCGTGCACACATCGCAGCAATGCAGCAAGACAATTTTATAAATGTTGTTTGGGCAAGTGAAAGGCCTTCCCATATCACCTCCCTGCCTGTGAGAGAGAATGACTCCAAGTGGTTGTGTGACAAAACGACCGTCTCCAGCATTGGATTTTTTTTTTGGTGTTAATCCTTCCAAGATTGCGATCTCATTCCGTGCAGCAATCAAGGCTTTCAAGCTTGGAAGGCCATGAAGACCATCCAGCCTCAGGATGGCTATATATATATATATACTTGTTATAGCTAACTTCGACAGGCAACTGTGCTGACCTAAAACAGATGCGTCTATGTTGTTGATTGGGGCACCTGGACATCTTGTTGTCACTCACGTCCAGGACAGCCAATGACGACAGATTCTGCAGATGACTGACCCGTTGTAGCCGATTCTTTGCCACACCGAGCCAACAAAGACCGTGGTTCATCTCCAAGAAACCTCACTACCGCTGCAAATACAAGAGCCAACTCTAAATGCTACAACTCATGCATGTCGTCTTGGGTTTTATCAAGATTATCTAGGATTGGCGGCCTGCAAACCATGCTCTATGTTTAACGCTTCCAAGACCAGGCACTGAGTGACGCAATCTGATTGCCCTTCAGCTCCAACTTCTTCAGATTCTTAAAGGGCTCTAGGCTATCTAAAGATGTGAGCCCCCTGTCCTGGAGCAGCAGCTCCTCGGGTGTGACCGTGGAACTGGCAAGAACGAAGTCGCATGTTCCTTGATACATATGCGATGCAGGAAAGCAGCAGCAGCCGCTTGAGCATCACCATTTGGTACTTCTGTAAGCCTCCCAGGCTGGAAAGACAAATGGAGAAAGCTGCAAAGCGAAAGTCTGATGCACAAATAAAGTCAGCTGTTGGTTGGTTCAATTGAAATTTAAAACACTCAAAACAAAGGCCAACTTGGTGATTGCGTGGTGGTTCAAGACCAGACTGCCCAAGCCCAAATGCAATGGAGCAGCGCATCAGTGAAGCGCAAGTGTCTGCCCTGACCGGAACTTGGGAATTCTTTCTCCCTCTTCTCCTTTACCAAAGTTCCGGTTTGAAACTGTGAACTTTGGTTTCAGAATTCTCTCTCTCTCTCTCTCCTCTATTCTGCTCTCTCTCTCTCTCTCTCTCTCCGCGTCTCTCTCCATTGCCCTCATGCTGCAGGGGAGAAAATTGCATATCATGCACTCCTTGGGACGAGTGAATGCACAAAAACAAGAAAATGCGCAAAGGGAGGTCAGGGACGCCTCGACTGCCTCTTCCGAGCCATCAGACTCCATCTTCGCTGTCTGCCTATCACCTCATTGGCATTCTGCTCCTTTAAAAAAAATATGTCTGACCCTTCGAGACTCCTCGAATAGACAGTCCTAGCTTCTTGCTGTAGTAGTACGGCAGGAGCCCCTAGTAGCGTTCTTGCTCCTAGTAGCGATGCCAGGAGCCCTTAGTGGCGTTCTTGTTACTGTCTTCAAACGCGCATGCTTTCAAGAAGCTTCTTGAGCAAAAACTTTCCGTGGCGTGAATGCGCTTGAATATTCGATCACGTTGCCGTGTTGTGTGCACTGCTCTGTTTTGCAACGGCATTGAAGTTAATGGACGAAATCTAGCAATCTTGCGGAATCTTGATGCCGCAATGTCAGGATGCCTCCCTTGAAATGAAAAACGGGTGGCCTTTGAGGAGCCGCAGCGCTGCCCAAGCGCCAAGGTCGGCACTCTGGTGAAGTCAGCGCGCAACCAAAAGAGCAAATATTAATCACTTCCACTTGAATTCCAGCCTAGCAGTCTAAAAAGATGCGGAGAGCAGGAGCCGAGGGCACAAGAGTCACAAGTCAACCGAATGAATCAACAATCTTTGCTTCGAGTAATTGAATGCGTCAGTCGTGACTTGCTGAATGATATTACAACGCCCTCTCAGCTTAAGCTGCTAGCCTGCTAGTCGGAAATCGCTCGCAAACAATTGAAGCACATCTAAATCTAACAAAACACAGAAAGCAGAAAGCACAACAATTGATGGAAACCTGCGGACCATTGAGAGCGATTGAACATGGGTGAAAAGAGACAAACTAAAAAACAGCACTCCGCCACTACAGCTCGTGCCCGAGAAAGGACGCCAGCAGTCTCAGAGTCTTAATTCTCACCTGTTTGGGGAAGCGCTTCAGCCGGTTCACGACCTCAACATCCAAAGCATCCAGCAGGAGCACAATCAAAAGCGTGACTGGTAGATGAAGTGTTTGCTCACTCATTGTTTGCCATAATGCACAAGCGAAGAATCCACACTCAAACGTCCTGCATGACCATTGTCCATCATCATCATCATCATCATCATCATCATCATCATCATCATCATCA